AAAGATGGTGGGCCTGACAGCCTCCGACGTGCACCCCACCATGGGGGTCAAGATCTTCTCAGCTGGGGCGGCGGCCTGCCTGGCAGACGTGATCACCTTCCCGCTGGACACGGCCAAAGTCCGGCTGCAGGTAGCCAGAGGGGGCCGGTGAGAGTCCCAGGTCAGAAAGGGGACACCCGTGGAGCACCTCCCTTCGGTCCTCTGCTTTGGCTGGACCACCCTTCCTCAGCTGGGGAGGACAGGATGCCACCCTCTAACACAGGCTGGCCTTGTCCCAGGGCTGGGCGATGGGAAACTGGAAATTTTCTTTTCTTTTCTTTTTTTTTTTTTTTTTGAGTTGGAGTCTCACTCTGTCGCCCAGACTGGAGTGCAGTGGCCGCTCCCGGCCACCGCAGCCTCGACCCGCTGTGCTCCGGCGATCCTTCCGCCTCAGCCTTCCAAGTAGCTGGAACTACAGACACGCGCTACCACGCCCGGCTGATTTTTTGTAGAGATGAGGTCTCGCTGCCCAGGCGGGTCTCGAACCCGCGGGCTCAGGCAATCCACTCACCTCAGCCTCCCAAAGGCGCGGGATTACAGGCTGAGCCACCGAGCCCGGCTGAAACTGGAACTTTTCTTGTGATTAACTGAAGACCCACAAGGGTCATGGATGACGGGTTGCCTGCCAGTGACTACTGCCAAACACTCCCAAATGTTACGGTGCAGGACTGAGAATATCAGCCTCTCCTGAGTAGACTAGTCAGGCACTTTGTCCTTTCTTCTGGATTCTGCAGGGGTATCATCCCATCCTTAGGGGTCTTATAGGAGTTCATGGGAAAGGGGACATGTTCAGAATGTCTGTATGCAGCCAGCCCCCCTTTCTTTATACAAGGGGGGACCCAACAAATGGAATCTACTTATTAAAAATTGTGTATTTATTCTTACATGTTTAAGCCTCAGTCACCTCCAAAGTACTCTCCATTTGATGCAATACCCTATCGAGATGCTCTTCCCACTGCTCAAACCAGTCTTTGAACTCATCTATTTTGCTGTCTTTTAGTGCTTCTGCCTTTTTTGTTTGTTTGTTTCACCTCTGCCACATGGGCAAATGTTTCCCTTTGAGGACTTTTTTCATCCAGGGAAACAAAAGAAAAAGTCGATGAGGTGAGATCAGATATATAGAAGAGTGGAGCGTGGGGGTCATGATGTTTTGGGTCAAAAACTGCTGAACACTCAGCACAGCATGGGCAGATTGTTCATCTAAATCACCCATCATAAAATGGACAAAGGCGTTGAAAGAATCTCCCCAAAAAAAGTTCACTGAAGCCAAACACAGCCTCCCACATCAGTTGATACACTGATGCTGATGAGTTCCTACAACACTGACCTAGTGGTGGAAGCCTGTACTACAGGGAGATCACCCTCCAAAAGATGATTCTGTTTTTTCAGGAATTTCCGGGAGGCTGAGGTGAGTGAATTGCCTGAGCCGGGGGGTTCAAGACCCACCTGGGCAACTTGGTGAGACCTCATCTCTACAATAAATCGGAAAAAAAAAAAAATTAGCTGGGTGTGGTAGCGCACGCCTGTCATTCCAGCTACTTGGAAGACTGAGGCGGAAGGATCGCCAGAGCCCAGCACGTCGAGGCTGTGGTGGCCAGAAGCGGCCACTGCACTCCAGTCTGGGCAACAGAGTGAGATTCCAACTCAAAAAAGAAAGAAAGAAAGAAAGAATAGGATAGTGAAGATGTTGCTGAGAAGGGAAACTGAAAACAAGAACACAGTAGGAAAGCCTTGGCCTAAGAGTCTCCATAGAGGACAGCCCTGATGCCAGCCTCACTGTCTCCTCACCAAGTAGGTCCCACCATTCAATGTTCACATCCCTCTGACCTGCACCTTTCTGTTTCCAGGTCCAAGGCGAATGCCCGATCAACAGTCCTGTGAAGTATAAAGGTGTCCTGGGAACCATCACCACCCTGGCAAAAACAGAAGGCCCAGTGAAACTCTACAGCGGGCTGCCTGCCGGCCTTCAGAGACAAGTCAGCTTCGCCTCCCTGAGGATTGGCCTCTATGACACGGTCCAGGAGTTCTTCTCAGGGTCAGAAAGTAAGCAATGCGTGTTCCCCGGAGGGACCAAAAAGCCCTGGGCTCCACTCTGTCCAAAACTGGGCTTTAGAATATGTTAGCAAGAAAGCATCCATATTTGAACTCTTCCCTTCTCCTCATTGTTCATAGAAGAAAAAAAATGTGCAAAATTGATTTTGAAGATGCAGGTTTATACTTATAAAAAATCACCCAGGCAGTCATAAAAGTTTTGTGTCTAATTTGGATCTCTGCCTGGAGAGCACAGATGGGCTACAAAATAATGTTTAACTCGAAGTTTCCCAAGTGGCAAAGTGTATCAGAAACATCTATGGAGCTTGTCAGAAATCCAAATGAGGTCTGGGCCTATTGGCTCATTCCTGCAATCCCAACACTTTGGGAGGTGGAGGCAGGAGAATTGCTTGAGCGCAGGAGTTAAAGAACAACCTGGGCAACATAGTGAGACCTTGTCTCTTAAAAAAAAAAATTTTAAGTAAAAAATCCAAATGAGGATGATCATGGTCCCCTGAATCTTAATCCTCAGGTTGAGAACCAGAAAAACCCTGATCTTTTTTGATAAACAATAAAGGTTGAAGCCATTTTGTTTGAAGGAAAGAAAGTCAGACTTTGTGAGAAGAGTTGACAGGACAGGAAAAGACCTCTCACTTCCTTTTAAAGTTTCCTTGTAAGGCCTCTAGTGCTGGGAAGATCAGAGAAGAAAAAGTCAGCTGGGCACAGTGGTCCATGCCTGTGATCCCAACACTTTGGGGGCCAAGACAGGTGAATTGCTTAAACCCAGGAATTCGAAGCCAGCGTAGGCAACATAGTGAGACCTTGTCTCTACAAAAATCAAGAACTTAGCCGGGTATGGCAGTGCACACCTGTAGTCCCAGCTATTCAGAAGAGAAGGATCTCCTGAGCCCAGGAATTTGAGGCTGCAGTGAGCAGTGATTGTCCCACCATGCTCTACCCTGGATGACAGAGTAAGACTCTGACTCAAAAAAAAAAAAAAACAGTCACACAAAAAGGAGGACTAACACTGTAGTGAGTTTGTTTCCAGGAAAAAGAAAAGGAAACAAATCTTTCTGGAGTGCCAGCTTAGCTCATGTTTATAGGAGTACTTACTAGGCACTGTTCTAAGGTACATCACAGCTGGAAAGATTCTAGTATGGCTATCCTTTGGCAAATGGGAATCCGAGCACAGAGCAGTGTCATAACTTGCTCAAGGTCACACAACCAGAAAGGGTCAGGCTGGCTCTGACCATTATGCACTGCCGACCCTGCATTTTGTATGTGATTCTATCCATCACTCAAGCCACACAGCAAAGCTGTGAGTAAAAAGTGTTAGCTGAGCATCAGAGAAGTTAAGTAGCATGCTCCAAATCACATAGCTAGTAAATAACAGAGGCCCTTTCCTAGGGAGCAGGCAAGCTAGATATAAGACGCTGATGGTGAAATGAATGCAGTCAGTGACTACCTTGGTCAATTTCATCATTTCTGCTTTGCATAATCTCTGAATACTCTGGCTTTACAGGGTGATTTATAAATATTGCTTATAGAACTATATAAGGTAAATGTATCCAAACAAGTACTTTCAAAGCAAAGTGACGATAAAGTCCAGATGGCTCTTGATCCAAAACTGTCTTTTCATATTTATAGATACAGCAAGAGAAGAAACACAAAGGACATAAAGCTGCCCATTCAGGTGGTTTGCATCACAGATCGAATGATCTAACCAATTTCTGGGTACTCGAGAAAAATGTGTTTCCTTTTCTTTTTCCCTGAAACAAACTTACTACAGCTTAAGTTCACTTTTTTGTGTCTGTGACTCTTTTTTTTTTTTGAGTCAGGGTCTTACTCTGTTGTCCAGGCTAGAGGACGGTGGGAAAATCATGGCTCCAGGCACCAAATTAATAAGATCTGTTTTGCCAGTATTCTATGTTCTGTGTTCATTCTATTCAGCTATTTTAGTAAGCTGTTTGCCATGTGCCAATTACTGTGTCACATGTATCTCTAGGCAGAGCTTATAGTTCAGAGTATGGGATATGTGTAGAGAAAAAGTGAATAGATGAACATATCCCATGACACATACTGTGTTACAAGTACAGTCAAGCTTTAACAACAGGGGTGCATTCTGAGAAATGCATCATTAGGAAATTTTGTCGTGTGAACGTGTAAACATCAGAGTGTACTTACACAAACCTAGGTGGGATAGCCTAGTACATATCTAAGCAATGTGGGATAGCCTGATGCTCCTAGGCTAGAAACTGGCTCAACACGTTACTGTACTGCATATTGTAGGCAGTTGTAGCACAATGGGGGAGGATTTGTGTATCTAAATAGACCTAAACATAGAAAAGGTAACGCATTGCGCTACAACATTATGATGGCTACCATGTTACTAGACATCAGCTCCATTGCCATCTTATGGGACCCCCATCACATATGCGTTGTTTTGTGGCTCATGACTGACTGTAAGTACAAGGTAGTGGGCGCATTGAGGAGGAATATTTAGCTTATCCAAGGAGGCATGGTCATGCAAAAAATCTTCCTGAGGGGTTAAAGCCTGAGTCAAGTCATGAAGGACTGGTGGGAGCAAACCAGGCAAAGCGGTGAAAAAGACCTTCCAAATAGAGTGAAAGTCATGTACAAAGACTCAGAGAGGGGTGAAAAGAACATAAAGGGAATAAAAGGCAGACATGCTGGTGAGGAGGGAGAGATGAGGCCAGAAAGGCAGGAAGGAGCCAGATCACAAAAGGCCTCGCCAGGCAATGCTAAGGAGTTTGGGTTTTCATCCTTTCAGTGGTGGGAAGTCATTGTCAAAATGTTAAGCAGGTGGTGGCATAAACAATTCATAGTTTTTTTTTGAATTGGAGTCTCACTCTGTCACCCAGACTGGAGTGCAGTGGCCGCTCCTGGTCACCACAGCCTCGAACTGCTGGGCTCCGGCGATCCTTCCACCTCAGCCTTCCAAGTAGCTGGAACTACAGGTGCGCACTACCATGCCCGACTCATTTTTTGATTTATTGTAGAGATGCGGTCTCGCCAAGTTGCCCGGGTGGATCTCAAACCCGCGGGCTCAGGCAATCCACTCACCTCAGCCTCCCAAAGCACGGGATTACAGACTAAGCCACCAAGCCCGGCTTACAATTCATATTTTCAAATGATCACTTTGACAGTAGTACTGAGTATATGTATAGAAAACAGGTTAAAAAGGGGTAAGTTAGAAAGTAAAGAATAATCAGGTTATGCCCCCAAAGCTCTGGCAATAATGAAGGAGAAAATAGGTCTGTCAGAAAGAGTTAGGAAGTGTAATTGACTGCACTTGGTGAACAATTGGAAGCAAAGCATAAGGGAAGGTTGTGAATACGAGTTGACTTTCAAGTTTCTGGTTAAAGATACCATTTATTGAGGGAGGGAATACGAAAGAAGTTGGTACATGTCAACAGGTAACGTCCAGTAGGCAGGAGTTTAGGAGAAAGGTCAAGGCTATATTCCGGGAGGCCACAGAGGGACTAACCATTAGGGTCAAACAGAGAGGAGAGATCTGAAACATGGTCATTGTATCTAACGGATAGAAGCTCACTGGTTTTTTAGCCAAAAGTAGGTGTGTCAAATTATAGAGGATTAAGGAGGAAATGGGCTTTGAGAAGTAAAGACAAAAACTATATTTTGTAAATGAATTTATTTTAGTTCTTAAAAAAATGTATACATAGCCACTCTTCCCAGGAGTTTGACTAAGACACGAAGGCAAATGAGAGAGTTGGAGGGTTGATGATTAGAGGATAGGGCAAGTAAATCAAGATAAGATGACAAATGTGGGTCCTAAGTGAAAACAACTGCAACTACATGACATTGCCAATCACAAGACAGCCAATCATGGGCTCAACTCCTGGTGGTGTATCATGAGAAGAGTAAGATCATAAGAGTCATGAAAAAAGTTGCTGCCAGTTTTGTGTGTTTTCTTTGTGCCAGTGTAAGTGCTTTGTAGATATTACCAGGGGTGCCAAAAAATATACACATTTTAAGAGCTGTTCTCAGCCGGGCTCAGTGGCTCAGCCTGTAATCCCGCGCCTTTGGAAGGCTGAGGTGAGAGGATTGCCTGAGCCCGCGGGTTCGAGACCCGCCTGGGCAGTGAGACCTCATCTCTACAGTAAATCAAAAAATCAGCCGGGCATGGTAGCACATGCCTATAATTCCGGCTACTCGGAAGGCTGAG